CTCTTGTTAAATCACCCGCAAACCATGGTTCAGCCCCTCGCGCAAAATTCCAGTTTGTGAGCGCAAATTACTCGCGCAAAATTCCAGTTTGTGAGCGCAAATTACTGCACGCAAAATTGGATCTTGATAAATCCGGCCCTAAAAGACAGAAGCAGTGCAAAAATCAGCATGAATGTAACAACTCATTGATGTTGTTGGGGACAGTGATGTTAGAAAGTCTTACAGCTGCTGGGAGGAAGGATCAATCATAACGCTCCAGATTGATATTTAAAATTCTAGTTAAAATTCCAGAACTCATCTAGAGCCTACATAGATCCCATTTCTTACCCAGAAAAAGGAAAATCAATGATAAAATATGCTACTTATGGACAATGTCTAAAGTTGCCTGTGGTTTATTTTCCTTTGTCTAATTGATCATTTCCCTGCACAGCATGTCTACCCTGCTGCATTCATTCCTAATCCCATTATCCACTCTAGGATGTCAGCAGAGCTCCTATATGACATGGTTCACTGAAATGCTTCAAAAGCTGTTTGTTGAACTGAACAATGGGCAAGTGAAAATCTTTTTATTTCAGACATTCGCTTGAGCTATGGCATAAAAATGTAAACGTTTAATTAGCAGTGTTACAAAAAGCTTTTTGCAACAGGATGCCAGATAACGGCACCTATAATCACCAGAGCCAGCCATCAATTAGACCTCTCCCTGCTTGCTGCTCTTATCAAATTTGTGTATATGTCATGAAATTATAAAGGGGTATTTTATCAAATCTTCCAACACATTATTTGAACATCAAAAACGTTGCATTTCAATAATTTGTTATCATTATTATTATGAATAATTAGAAGATGAGAAATCTGTGTCTTAAATGTTCATAAATATATTTAGGACAAATTTTAGGGCTATCAGATCTCTTTAACCAGGTTAAAGCTGCCTCCTTGTACTGTAAGTGATCATGCTTTAGTATAGTAAATTATTATTATTATTATTATTATTATTATTATTTTTTTTAGTGTCCTGTCTGGCAAGGTGGCAATAAGAATAATTGTCTTGATGCCAAAAGGAGCCCAACAGATTTTACTTTCACAAGTGTAGCGGTATGGCAATTGCCATACTGCTCCACTTGTTTCATGTATATAAATTGCTTTATTATAATTATGCAGGGAGTTTTACAGTTCATATGGACACTGCAATGTAAGTAGATCAGAAAAACAGAAGAAGAAGAAGGTATTAAAAGAAGAATAGTAAATTATTATTAAAAAAACTGGGAGAAATATAGGAGATTGATCTCTGAACATTTTCCAATCTGGGTGTCTCCTAGCGCCCTACCTTTGGTAGTTTTGCAGACCAAAAGCTCAGACCAGGAAATCACTGTGAAAGCTTTGGAAAGTCCAAAACCAGCTGAAATGTATCACTGAGAAGAGATGCATTGGGATCTCCAGAACTTGATCCCTTCATAACCCGACCATGTGTTAGGAAAAGAAACTGTATACTCAACGGCATGTTCTTCAAATTTTCTTTTGTTTTCAAGACTAATAGATCAACATCCTAATCCTAAAACATGGGAAATAAGCTGGTAGACTTTAGCTTTGCTGTTTCTGCTGTTGGGATCCATTTTATAATAAGCATCTTTTAGTCAAAAGCAGTTGAGTATTTACTTAATTCTATGCTCTTTCTGCTATACTTCTATTCTGTGGTCATTTTCACTATGTACGTTTTAACTTTTCATTGACCACAACTCAAGATTCAGGATGGCGGCAAGGGATTTGCAGGCAAATTTAAACAGGCAAGGCTGTAAAGCTTCAGATATGGGGAACTCCTAGCAAACAAAATAGAGAGACTGCCTATTCTGAAGCCTAAAAAGATGCGTTTTCTTCCCCACATAAGAACTATCACTAACATTGCCTCACAGGGCTTTGCTCTACCTGAACAAAAATTACTGCAGTTCAACCTCTGAGCTTCTGTAAAACTATAGAAGCTCAAAGATGTCAAAAGTGTGATTGGAACAAAGGTGCGTGCAGACAAGAGATGGACTGGCTGCTCCACCAATGCAGTCAGAAACACCTTTGTAAAAAAAAAACAACTAAATAAAATAAGAGAAATACTTTATCTTTATCTTTATTTAGAAATAGTTTATATACTTCACTTTTTGTATCATTACATGCAAAATCAAACTTAAGTTGTTATTTCACATTTTATCTATCTGAAATTTACTGGGTGCAAAGCTGAATATTTTGCATGCAGAAAATCATAAAATTTTTCTTTATGAAGATTTTAAATTGAATTTATAAATGCATTTCCCTTCAAGATAGTTTTTTTTTTTCCTCTATCGAAAAATAGAAAAAAGTTTGCACTCTTACAAAGTTGTCACGTTTTTACTCTTTGCCACGGTATTTCATATCATAACAGAAGTCAGTTTAATCTGACTATCCTAACCAATCCAACCCTCTGAAAAAGCAACTAAGCTCATTTTCACAAGTGAAACCAAAGCCTAATTATTACTTGACCTGCAGATATAATGATCATAATTAAAACACAAAGAATGGTGATTATTAAAACCTGATTTCAGGCCTGCAGATGTTAGACATATAAAGTATTAATACCAAGCACATGCACCACTCTTCTCCTGGATGAATCTTCAGGCAGGGATGACACAGAGACAGCGCAGGCCAGAGGGAGGATTAGCAAGAACATTTCACCAAAGATATGGGGCTGACGTTGCTTTAAAACCTGCAAGGATTAAACAAAGTTTACCACAACTTGTTAAAGAGAAAAAAACTTCAAGGAAACCTAGAAAGAGTGAAGCTGTATACAGAGTATACTACAGAGTATAATGAGAAGCATGACAAACACTTCATAAAACTATAAATGCCTATAACAAAACATCCTATGGTTGAAGGTTAACATTAACACTTTATCTAAAAATATATATATACTGACTGTTATGTCTTTAACTGTTTGGCAACCACCAATAAGTGGAGAAAACGTTAGGCCAGAAGACTACTTTTGCCTTCATTAGGTAAACCATTAAACAATAACTTGTCTATGTTTAAAATTATTATCATGGTTTATGGCACTAGAGTCCACCTTTTAGATCTGGAAATATAGATGCAGTTCTTAGTTTTCAGATCTATTGATAGGTCCATTAGCCCGAGGTCACCTCACTAAATTATTACCGGCCTGTCTCACTGACTCCCACCATGATGAAGTGCTTCAAAAGGCCAATTAAAGAACATATTGTCCGCAGTCTCTCCCCAACGTTCGACCTCTTCCAGTTCGCCTACCTATGGAACTGGTCCACTGAGGACGCCATCTCCTCCACTCTTCACCTGAGCCTAGCTCACCTGGAGGAGAAGAACACAACCTTTCCGATGCTGTTCCTGGACTTCAGTTCAGCTTTCAACATCATCATCCCAGAGAAATCTGATATGCAAACTGGAACAGCTGGGCTTCAATACGCCCCTCTGCAATTGGCTGCTAGACTTTCTCACAAACAGACCTCAGTCAGTCCAGGTTGGACAGAACACCTCTGATGTCATCACCTTAAGCACAGGCTCCCCTCAGGGCTGCGTCCTGAGCCCCCTGCTGTTAACCCTGATGACACATGACTGCGTCCCCGGGTTCACCACCAATCACAGTTTACAGTGGGCCTCATTAGAGATGACAACGACCTGGACTACAGAGAGGAGGTGGAGCAGGTGGTGGGCTGGAGCAGAGATAACAGCCTGATCCTGAATGTAGAGAACGAAAACGAAGGAGATCATCATTGACTTGAGGAAAAATCGGCCTAACTACGCTCCACTGCTCATCAACAGCTCAGCTGTAGAGGTGAAAAGCAGCACCAAATTCCTGGGGGTGCACATTACTGACAACATAGCCTGGACCTTTAAACACCACCTCACTGGTCAAAAGGGCACAAGAGCGCATGTACTTCCTGCGGAGGATGAGGAGAGCCCACCCATAGATATCCATAATAAAGGCTAGATGTCTTACGGCGGAGTCTCAAACGTCATCACCGGCGGCCATCTTGCCTCAGGCAGGCTTTCTGTTGTGCTCTGTGGTACCTAATGTAAGGTGAGTGATCAGCACGAACACAAATACTCTTATCTCATTGAATTCTTGACGGATTTACAAACAGTTTGGTTTCTTACAAACATGAACGTGGCTATTATTCTTTATGCTTGAACATGTTGAAATTGCAGATTTTCTTGTCGAAAAATGACTTAATCGCGCAGCATAGTTGTGCATCACGGCTACTTGTGCAAGTTATCAAGGCTGAGACTATTAGTCAATTATATAGGTTTTACTGACACCAATAACAATTGTATGACAATTAATCTTTGGTGTAAATTACAATATTTGGTCTGTCAACACATCTTACATTATGTTACAGGA